CTGTGATAAGGTATCGTCGTTACCTACAGAAGAAACAGAAAATGTTATGACAGCCGTTGATAATATCTTCTTTTCATAAACTTCGCATAGGTCAACAACGTATCTTTGCCTGTAGAAAACTAACCAGTAATTGTAGGCGTTCTAGCACTTTTTAAAATGCACATGCTTACGAAGGATTAGATTTTTCGATAAGTTGCTCCTCTGAGTTGCAATTTGTAATTCCACTTTGCCTCAACTTTGAATTTTTATGATCTCCTGCTTTCTTAGGTCAATAATCTCACAAGGCTTGTAGGAACTTACACAGAGTCTTCGCTGAAGATTCAACAATGAGGTTGGATGCGTTCTAGGCTAAATATTCTGTGACCTCTAGAGCTGATTGACCTTGATGCTTCATCAAAACGTGGTCAATGAGCGATGACCATTGCCTTCTTGTCAGTAGTCTCCGATTTCTAACGGCTTTTATTATCGTTTTACGTCGCTTGCTTGCATCCAGTATTGTCAACTACTCGTGGTTACTTATATGTATTGTACAAGAATGTAATACATATTCATAAGGTGTCGGCCTGTCATTATGACTATTTTGACATAGAGCCGTCCATTCTGTAAGCAGTAGCAGCTACTATAATACATATCGCTTGATTGGTGGCGTTGGTTTCAATGCCGTTTTGATGGCGAGATAGTGCCTGCTTTGAACGTCAAACCAACACATCTCAGCTTATAGTGTACTTTACTCATCCAGCTATGACCTATTAGGATCTGCATAGAATTTTATCAACAAACTTTCTATTTTTTATAAGCGACCAAAATAATACTCTTTCTTGGAGGAAACGTAACGCATTTTCCGCCTTTCTTTGTCGAGAGTTGAATCGAATCGGAAAATTTGGAAAAGTACTTTTGCTTTCAATTTTCTCAGAAATTTTCATTTAGAAGAAATCTGAGACTGAAAGATTATCTTATACAAATTATGTACCTGCTTAAAGTGATATGGCAAAGTTTCTCCTACAAGTCTTGGACACTTCCTTGGATACTTGGACGGTCCGTCTTCACGAGCTGCGCGGAATCCAGCACATATGCTATTCGTACCTTTCTCTCGCAATCGTAGTCTATGGTGGTGGCCTTGTTCGAGCATGGTCGTGCGTGCGAGTCTCATACCGTGATCTGTAAAACAACTGCAGCTGCGGGTACAGCTGTTTAACTTTGATTATGAACACGTCCGCCCAATGTGTAGGTGGTCGTCCAAGGAAATGTATGAATACACTTGGAGTCCACTCTACTGTTCTTTTCGTCCATTTATCGTCTGTTTTTCTCATTATGTGATCGGCCCATCTATGTTTCGCTGTCGATGTATATTCTTTTGGACCTCGCAGGTGTGACAGATTTCGAAGGTCAGAGCTTCGCATTCCGGCTACGAATTGAGAGTGCCAGTTATATTTCAGAAGACACCGCTCAATCGCTCTGTGAGTAGTTCGAAGCATTCTTGACGTGGTTGAAGTATCAACCCACGTCTCTGCAGCATAACAGAGCGCTGGGAGCCTATAAATCTACGAAGTTCTAAGCCCCTTTAAGTACTCTGGTATTCGAGAAACTATTGTCATTTGTCGAAATCCATTTACGACAGCCATGTGTAGTCGAGGAAAAATTGAGTGCCGTAATTATCTTACTATCAAAAATTTCCTGTATATAGCTTCTTTGTTGCATTTCCGCTCAAGCTATTCATTTTTCTTCACGAAGAATAATAAAAACCTTCTCAGTCACCTCGTGTCGGTTGCTATTTTGATCGTGTTCGTGATCCACTTTTTTGTTTATTTGGAACAAAAATAACGAATAAGCAGGTATTTGCAAATAACAGCATAATTTTAAACTTTGAGCTAGGCTTTTTTTAGACTTAGGTCTTTGATCCCTCGATAAAATAAGAGTTTCACCACGACTTCATCCTCATCAGGAATAAATCGAACATTAAGTTGAATTCACTGAACAAGTTGTGCTCAGAGTGCTTCACATTAAGGTGGCCCCGATACATCTCTCCATCAACTAGTCATACGATTCACTACCGTCATGGAAGAAACCTAGTGGCAAGACGAAAAACCGGATAATGACTGGGGACTGACTCTGTGAGGAAGAGTTTGGAACGCCTTAGAAAGCTCTCTCGGCATTTTAAGGAAAACCATGTTTAAGAATCACAAAATATGTTCAAACAGAGTTGGATTAGAATGACGGTGATGTATACTCGAAATGCCCATATGCCTGCTGTGCACATGCAACGTTAGGTCAACTTTTTAAACCATTACCTCCATGTTCTTTTTGATACCGCAGACCATGCGACGCGATCGTATTTGAAGAAGTTAACGACAAGAATGCTGTCATTCAGAAAACGAATGATGGAAGGTTGTTATTCTATATAAGATTTATTGCTCACTGTTGTTCGTCTTAGCTGTGTCGTACGCTAATTTATAGCGTGCTTCGTCCTCTTCATAAAATACACAACTCTCTCACATTTCATTTCAAAGTCTTGTATTTCATTGTCAGAAGAAGACTGATACCATCAACTGATACTTACCAACATTGGCAACATATGTACTGAACTCGGTACTTTAACAAAGTTCTCAGGAAAGTCATCCATGTTACGGGCCATTTCAATGCAAGGATAAGAATGATGCAAGAAGTAGAATATAGGAAAGGACATTTTGGATGAGCAAATCGCAGTGCGAATGGTGATCCTCCTGCAGAACTACTGCTTAAAACTGTAACCTACACTGAAATCCGTTATTCAAGAGGAAGGACCATTATCACTGGACTGTAGAATTTCTTTTATTGCATGATTCATATGGAGATTGGTTACATGTTGTCAGCGGAAGATGACCAAATCATTACCTTCATTTTATGTGAATTCTCTTCAACTGAAAATAAGAAAAAACGGCCAATAATTGTATGAGACAAAGAAAGTTTGTCACTTACAACAAGTCCATTTCCAGCCTGTTCTATCTAATTATGAGTGACATAAAAGCGAAATATAATAATTTTGTTATCCCTCTAAAATCCGCCTACTATAATTTCTCACGGCATGGCATGATGTGAAATACAACCACTATGATGCTGAAATATTCACAACACTTGAACCCCGCAATACACATTGGATCGATCCCCGCGCCCCAGGCTCACCAAACCACTCTTCCCTTCAGGATCGGCAAATTGGCACCGGAGATATATTTGAGGATAGCAAACTGGCTCGACACATCGGTACGCCACCGCGAGTCATTATAAAGGCCAGATATGCATTCAACCATCTTTAACGATGTTTAATAAAGTCGAATTCATGTCGCGTCTTTCAGTGATTGATTAATTCCGACAGCTTCATCCTTTATTATCCTTTTAACAATAGCCCGACCACTTTACTGAACGTGCTCTATAGTCTTTTCATGAAGAGGTGTCCTGATGCTCATCTCCACTGGGCAAAACCTATTCCATATAGCAACCTCGCTTCAGAGCGGATTTAGCTGCACAAACTACATTTAGACACTAGGTGCGACAGTCACTGGCGAAAAACCACGTAGGCCTTTCCTACCTTTGTTTGTTACAAGAAAGCGAAGCGCACTATATAAAGTTTGTTGATTGCTGCAGCCATTGTATAATGACGATACAACTTTCCCACCTACCTCTTACTATTCTCATTCTTAAACAGGTACGATAAGGCTACACAATATCACGCAAGCTATGTACCGCGCAATACACTGATGCATACAACACGTATTGACCTATGATCCTTCCATAACGTTTGCCTTATCAACTGCATTATTCTTCCAAACAGTATCGCAGACACAGAGACAACGACGCACGAGATATTAACCAACTTGTCTGCCATAACCATTTTATTGAATTGTTAGCCGACCCGTTCCTTCATTGTATGCGTAAACCAATCGCATTAATGCCTGATATCAACTCTCAAGTCCTTAAGCCACCAACTAAATAGACCTAAGAATCGAAGAAACGTTGGGGGCCGTATGATATGTGAACGTAGGTTATTTAAGCAGGTATGTTTTGCTCTTGAAATATTTTGTAGCAACTATCCGAAAAACATGCGATGATAAGTGCCATGGTTCTACTTCGAAACCTTGCAAGTTCTCTACCAGCACATTTCATTAGGGAGGATTCCATTCATTTACAGTTCGAAATACATAAAAAAAAAAACAAAAAAAGACTGAATAGTGTCAGAGATCACGCGTTATTCTTGAAAAGATAGAGATAATGGTAAATGAATAAATGTAGAAACACAATGGCATGCAAATATTTGTGGAAGAAACAATAGTATAGAAATGCTTGTGCATAATCGTTCTGCAATAGTTCTTGAAACAGTGAATAGACGTCATTGACACATCAGTATCACTAATAAACCTTCGCTTGTACTCGACATAGACTATTAAAACATTTCATTTGGCTGCGCTTTAAAATGAGGAAAGAATAGTTGTATCAGCACATAAGCTAAATAGAAGGAAGTGATAACTTAGGTCCTGATTTACAAACGAAACAAAACATCTGCTAATTGAAAGGTAGTCCAATTCCTGAAGTAGCAATATGTACGGATATTATACAAATATGCTGAAAACGGGCAAATTGTAACTATAAAAAACATTTTGGGATATAACGTCCAAAAACTCAGGAAACAGCAATAAAAGACAGAAAGCTATTGGCGAGTGTAAACAAACCCGCGCTGATGATTTGTAGGGCAGTCAGAAATCTCGTAGAGGAATTGTTTGTGTAGAATATATTTACAGGTAAGACTTTGGATAAAAAAGAAAGGAAATGATACGGTTTCCCTCTAACAATTTTAATATTTCAACTACATGCTTAAATAAGTATGTACAAAATCCGGTTTCCTATAGGCAGTTTCCTCAGATGTGAAAGATTTTGGCAAACACATCACTCTATCATGGAAAGACAATCGGCAGCTAGCAATATAAGAATGAAGTGCATATTAACTTCAGCATTGACTCAGCTGGAAACGATCAACACACAAGAGCAGGCTTTTGTATCAAATTCATCTGCATATTATCGAAAATTTTGCTGAGATCATGAAAAGTCATCTGTTGAAGAACAATGAAATCGTCGAGGCCCGCCCTAAAAAGTGAGCAGAGATGTTGTCAGCATCACAAAGTGCTTCATGAAACCAAGAACAGCTAGATCTTCGTAGATATATTTTGCAACATAGGAATGAAGGAAAACTGACCTTCTCGCACAGTAAACACAATATACAGGGAATTTCCCATTAATTTCTTTCACGAACAAGATGTTAAACACTTCAACCTAGAAAAAAATTCAGTACTAAATTTCACCAAAAAAAAGGATAGAAATGTGTTTACCTCGCACAATGTACAGTAATGAGTTATCTCCCCTTTAGCACGTGGCTGTGGCTTCAGTTGTTTTCCTCGCGAAACGGATAGATCAGCAACCATTTTACAAAACGCTAGAGATCTGATCAATTCGCCTCTGATGAGACTGAACACCTTCTGGTTCGTGAAGCGAATGTTCTTTGCTAATTGCCAACATAAGTGTTGCATTGGAACGAGCGACTTGTAGCTCTAAAAGTACGCGACTATGAGATGAAGTGCGATAGTGCCAAATTATGAAATGAAAAGGAAAAAAGAGCGAAGAAAATGAACAATATAGTGGAAACAGCAATATTTATTACTGTTTCAATAATCAATCAATGAAGCTATGGTGAAAAAACCTCTTTTTGAAAACAGAAACAGCATTGTGGTGGGTGAACCCTTCAAAAAATTAACCAAAAGTTCAGAACATAATACAGAATACAGGTTTCTAGAAATCGGACGCAAAGTAGGCACAGGAAAAAATTAAAACATATTTAACAGATGGGTAACTAGTAAATAATTTTCAACCGCACTAGAAAATCAAAATGAAGAATCAAAAAAATTCCAGTACTAACGAGCGACGAGTGATCAGAAAATACTTAAATTGTAGATTTAGATGAGGACATGGAAAAGATGATCTGAATGGTTACAGGAAAAAACATGAATCTCCTTCAAAAGTTTTCCAAGAAAACAATGAGATAGAAGAAAATGTACGGACGAAATGTTACCTGCAACTTATTCCATTCATAGCTGAAAATGGAAATTTGCAATTGCGAAGCAGTAAGAGGACCAACATTCCAAGCGATATTATTACACCAACCGGTGGCTTGTACCCAATGAACACAGCCACCTCCAACCCAAACCAGATCACCAGCCTTTTGTGTGAATCTACAATAGCCATACACCATTTTTGAACCATTCTCATTACTGCATGGTTTAAAAACCGGACCTATAAACAGGAACACCTTCCTCGATCAGATCTTCAAAGTTTGGCCAGAAAGATCCTTTCAAAAAATCGAGGTTTCGCCTGAAATACCGTCGTACACGTGGCAGGTATGCTAGACTTGGAAACCGACTTTCTAGTTAAACAGCTAACTCTTAATTTGCATCTATAAATACACTTTTGCCCCTTGAATCAATTACGGTCTATACCTAAAGAAATGCAGTGGAAACCAATAAATTAGTACCTATTGATAAAAAATATTTATTAATGACTAGAAAACAAACTGATTTATATCCAAATAAAGACATTCCTAGTAAGGAAAAGTCACTTTTACTAATTATCAACTAAAAACTCACTCTCTGCACATTCGCTCGATAACCCCCCAATATTCGTAAGGGCATCCAAACCATTCACAGTCACCTGGTCCTACGTTGATATTTACTGATGCGAAGCAATTATTTTCCTGATGAGCGGGCGTTCGAGAACCTGGCACCTAAATTAAAGCAGCTAGGTGCAAAAGTGAAACAGGAAATTCGTCGTTACTAGTAAAGCAATCTACTACGTAAACCTCCTCTTCTGCGAACATTTTTTAGGTTGAAAGAGAGCAAATACTGATGGAGCTGCACATCATAACCAGTGTCGCTTCACCAATACTACCGAAACGTACTATTTAGCCAGAAGTGTAATTGAAGCATGCAAAGACTAACGGTGAAATAGAACTTGTTCAAATTTGAAGAGATAAACTTAAAGAATGAGATTAACCAATAAAAGCCAAAAAAGGAGTGATAGAACAATATGCAGACCTTCATGTACAACTGTGTGGTATTCATTCCAAGTACTGTATGACCTAGGTGAGAAAGCATGTTGCAACCTGCTATGATACGACAAAAAGGAGGCATTTTTGCAAGCTCCTAAACGAAAAAACAATAAGATGTAAAAAAAAAACAAAGTCAATTGGTCAGAAGTCAATAGGATATTTTAAAGTGGACGAAAGAACGTTCCTTACTTGAATTTGCGCTTTCCATTTCGAGTCATCAGAGAGATCAACATTTGTACCAAACTTCAACATCTTCATGGGCATTGCGCATTCATCGCCATTGATTCCTAAAAGGCACCATACACTAATATTATAGTCTCCAAGAAATGAACCAATTTGGATGTCGACATCACATAAAACTGACTCCTACGTGATGAACACCTAACTCTGCTCTTAAGCAAAAAACCCAAAAAATGACATCTAGTCGACGAAGGTTAAGTTCTTAAAAAAAACACTTTCTCTTCGAAGATAGTAAAGTCCAAAACAGGTGCAATAATTCGCCGAAACTACTTTGGACATATTTTCCAACATTATAAGAAAAGACTACCTTTTCTTCTTTTGACGCTAGCAGACTCAGCAACTTGTTGTGCATATTTTGCTCCAGCAGAACGCAATTTCTCTGCTTCTTCTTAAAATGTGATACATTTGCAGAAGTACTACTTATTATGGGAATCAAAGACAAAAATCGTCAAAATGACGACCATAAACCCATAATTTCAACACAAGTATGTAAAGTGGTAGTAAGAGCTCCAATAAGAGAACCTTTCAAAGAATGTTTGAATGTTTCAGCCTGATATTGGGCGTATTTCATTACGGTGGTGAACGATCGGGTGCTCATACATTCCCAAGTTGGCTGGCCTAGATGATCCACATTCAAATCACACGGCATCTTATACTGGGTTCGAACCTAAGAAGCTGGAATCAATGGTGTGCAATGTATGCAGTAGAAAAACTTGTCGTACTTCCACTTCATGATCAGGCGCCATTTCCAAGAGCGTCTTTGTAGAAAACAAGCTTAGGTCCATTTTGAGAACACCTGTTAAACCGCGAATTAATGCGATTGGAGAGCTTTCACAAAATCTGAAATCAGCATCATTAACGGTGACTAAAAACGTAGTAACCCGAGAATTGATGAACGACTTTCATTTTCTATTAACTATAAGACATCCTGCAAACATCCAGTTGGCGATGGCTGACAACAACATACCGTAGAGACATTATAAGTTAATATATAAGCAAAACAATACGGCTAGTTTCTACTCTAAACGCTAATTTACCATCTTTGACAACCATACGATGAACTTTAAAGAGTTTTCAGTATTAATCCTATTGATACGATTTCAGGAGAAAGACTTGTGAGCCAACCATTGTTTTGTTAATAAAATGACTCCTGAAGTAGCGTAGTAAACAAAAATTTCAAGGGTACCTGATGAGTGAGTGATTTATTACCTGCAAATTCAAATGTAACAGGCGCAAAGGCTAATATTGTTGAAGATTAATTGAGAAGACGACAATTTTCCTTACAGTAGAAAGATTCCGATCCGTGAATGTTTGTCATTTAGGGACGTGCAGGGTATACATTCTTTTCACACGAGGTACAATAATCGGAGAAGTTTAGAAACGGCTTCAGCTTTTTCATTTCAAATATTATAATTCCATTTCTTTTACTAGAAACAAAACAAGACCAAACTACGTAATAGCAACCCTATGCTGCACTACGCTATATTAATAATTAATATTGTCACACAAACGAGCGACTGTATAGATTTATAAAGACAAAACCGTAACAATATTATTAATTGGGAACGAAATTACATATACGGAAAACAAAAAATGATTCCTGAGGCACTATTTTATCAAAATCTTAGTGTTGCAGTAGATCTACAACGAATATTCTTCCCTTAATAGGATTCTCACTGAAGATTTTTATATAAGCAATGAGTCTTTCGTTTCCAGTATAAGAAAAATGGTAAGTACGGGGTAGGTTCACATTATCAAGAAAGTACTAACATGTTAAAACTATTTGAATCCCAAGATAACAGCCGATAACTGATTAACAACTAAAAGACTTGAATAGTCGAAAAACCTGGATTCGGCACAGGCCCGTGAAACGCTTCGTTTTATGCGTTAGAGATCTGTAGAATTCCATTTCAAACGTTCAAAACAAGAATTTAACAAGCAACAACATAGCATAGTAACTTGCAAGCAGGTTTATATCATCTTCGCAATATGTTCATTAAACACAACCACTACTAATACTGGCTGAATTTGATATGGAAAAAGCAGTGCAATAGCTGCACTAGTACCGTCTCAAAACTGACCAGGATCTTAATTTATTTTTTTCCCACTATTTAATTCCCCTATGTAATTCACTGATTTCTACTTCTCTTGAAGACATATCACGTAACTTCTCTGTTCCCCTATCTATTCTTTCATGCAGCACATCAAACGACCGACAATCTTTAAAATCGGCATTGATCAATAATTTAGCGCTTATCCGTGCAGACTTTCAGAACCGATTCAATCGTGTGTGATATAAAAAATACCCACCATTGGACCACGCTGCTGTCGAAACTAGGTATTCGGTTTCTCAACGTATTTATCCACATTGTCAAAGTATTTCTTTTTTAAAACAAATGCATTTTAAACATCATAGCGACTGGAAAGGAAAGAACAATCTTTAACATCACAAGCCTGCATTTTTGTGAGAGTGAACTGAAATTTTCTATATGCTCTCTTGAGACTAAAATCGTTTTTTCCCCACTTCACTGCATATCTGATTGTTTGGCTTTCCTGCCTCACTCATTTCTGAATGTGTGGTTAGTGCACGACCAATGTTCGTCATATAAAACATTTCCTATAACCTAACTCGCAATAGGGCGCGTGTGGCGCAGTGGTCGGAGAAGTGCTGCGACATACACGTGGAATTGATCCCCGCGCCCATGGCCCACCTAGCCATCCATCTCTCCGGGTCGCCAAATTGGTACCAGGCTTGTCTGCGAGGATAGCAGCACTGACTCTATACATCGGTAGGCCACCGCGAGTCATTGCAAAGGCCAGATATGCATACAATTACCTCCAAACGATGCTTAATGAAGTCAAATGCATGGCCGCGTCCCTTAGGGAATGATCAATTTCGAGAGCTTTTTGTTTTTTTTTTGACTTTTAATAGGTTTGTAATTCACTAACACCATTCTTGATGAATTTTACTGGCCAAAAATGTAGTGTAATACGCCTGAACTGTTTCAGCGAATGAGGAATTAAACTTCGCCTTCCACTGCAACGTTCATCTTAATTCAGCCAAAGGTAGTTAGAATCACAATTAAGAACTTATCAACTTTACAAACACTTATGTTAAAACTCTTGATAAAGCGCAAACTGCGAACCAGTGTAGAAACTTCAATGTTAAAAGTGAGCTGAGATATCCTGAGATTCTCATTACCAGCAGCAGCACGTGTGGTACACTCGCTGTAAAACTCACTGAGACAGATAAACGCCGAAGTTTTTTCTCTTTTTAACTCTATGAAGTGTAGAAAACAGCTTTCTCAGGACACATCCAATACAACATGTCTGGAAGGGAAATGATCGACTTGATAGAGAATGTAATGCACAAAATAGTTGGCGGCGCAAGAGATACAACGGCGAACAAAATTCACTGGAACGAAAGCGCGTGGTCTACTATGCTTACTAATGTGAACACTGGAAAAATGTGTTACATAACAAAAGAAATAAGTGAAAATAAAAACAAAGGATCTACATCACACCTTTGAAGTTCCGGCGCTTGAGCATCCTTTCTTGACTCAACTACAACTAGAGGAGTAGGTCGAAGGAGAACTGATGTTTGACCAGATGAAAAAGGCTGAACACCCAACGATAAGCAGTGGTAATAATAATGGAACAAATTCACCTCGATCGCCCAGTAAATCGACCACAAAGATATGAAAAGAAAAAAAAAGAAGAAAAACGTACGGTCACTTTAACATCAGGTTTATCTGGAGGCTGAGGGGGAGGCATTTTTTCACAGAAAATTGGTCGAAATTCTGAAGGACGTTCGATTCTCTTTGAACACATCTCCAAAAGTTCGGCTGAAGAAATATCCAAGGGAACGAGGAGTGGTGACAGAAGACTAGAAAACTAAGTTTGAAGAAAACGATTACACTGCTACGAGGACATGGAAAAAATCACCAACAAGCACATCTTGACAATGTTGTGTGTCTATATCTAGTTGGCTAATTTAAACTATGCATGTACGCACAAAGTAGTACAACCATTCAGTATATATTCACAACCAAAAAATATTAAACACCAATATTAATAATAAAGGAAATTAAATCCCTAGAAATCGAACAGAACAGAGTAACCCCTAAACTTTACTTCATAAACGTTTGCCTTCGACAGATCATCATTCATAAAGATCGACAGAACTTCCTTAAAAGATATTTAACCCGACAAGCACTTCCTCACTTCGATAATATTTTGTAGCCATAAGAAAAGGAACTTTGGAAAAAAGAAGTGTGTAGAACTAATGTATGGAAAACCGTAAAGATATTAAACATTTATAGCAAACCTGAAAGTACACGGCAACTCGCCATGGGAGGCCACAGAATCCTGTTCGATTTTAACCAATTTATCTTCAATCGCAACTGAAATAAAAACTCAACGTCCAAAAAGACATCTTAAAAAACATGTCTTACCCTCTTCTTTAACTAAGGCAGTTCCAGGTAGTGAAAGATGACCTCCACATTTAACAACGTTCAGATCCGATTCGTTAAATATAGGCAAAGGTGTTGCGTGCGCAGAGATCAGTGATTCCACAGAACCACTCTAAAACGGTTACATCTTACGGCTATACTGAGCAACAATTATTTAAAATAAAACGAGAAAAACACACTATGCACTCGCGGTATCGTAGCTCCAGCTGTTCTAGCACCACCTTTTCTTGTTCATTTATTCGATCTTTGTTCATTTGAAGAAGTCGCATCATTTGCAGTTGTGTTGTCTCTAAAGGGGTGACAACGGACAACTCCTGCAAATATGCAACAGTCTCTCAACCAAGTCTGTGCAACAACCATTAGCAAGTTATGAAAATACCTGTACACCCTCCAATGGTGCAGCTAGTTCCCCCATTTTCCAAATTGCGCTTCCGTCCCGATATCTTTGATGTTTTTGCTGAACAAAGAAAACATAGATGAGTGCAAAACTGTGTGTACAACAACAGTTATAGCATTTAAATTTTAATGGATATATACATATATGTAATCCTACTGCAAAAAAAGAAGAAAGTCACACTTTTAGAAATCCCAACACAAGCCCCTCAACCGTAAAACCACCAATCCAGTGAAAAAGACCATCGTGCCCTACACCGTTAAACATCTGCTCGTTCAACTGTTTTTATGTTTGGAACACAAACTTTGAAGAAAAACGAACCAGCAACTCCATATAGATAGAGTTTCAGATTGATAATGTAGTAGTACCTCGAAAGCAACGGTCTGGACTCCTATCCTTTCTATTTAGAATAACGGGGGTCAATACATGCTGGGATATGCTAGGTAGAACTTCAAAGTGAGCAATGTTTCCACACCATATGCATTGAAATCAATGCCAGTCTAGTGTTTATTAAACGACAAAAGGTTGTTAGTAATGAGAATAAAGACAGTATTGTATAGAAAATATGTAGTAGTACGAGGGAAATCAGCGTTAATTATTTCAACTTTGTCTAATGTGCAACTTTAAGTGACTACCAGAACTTTCTGCCCAATCGCTTCCAGCATAGTAAAATCAGGGTGATTTTAAAAGAATACAAATGGATTTAATAAGAAATATATGCTAATAACAATGTTATCGTGTCTCAATCCCGTGCTTTTTTATAAGTTATCTGTTTACCCTGTAATATTCTTCCTAGCACAAATAATTTAGATCTGTATAAATGTTTCAAAACAATAAAGTAGCACCGGTTTACTTTATGAGTTCAAGTACTGATGTACTGCATCTGAAGTAACTAGAAATGTCACCAAATCATACGGGCACAGAAGGATTTCTGATAGCATGGTACTCAGATGACTCAAAA